CCCCAGGCAACCCCCCATCCCCACCACTCCACCCAAACTGCCCTACAAGGGCCACCAGTGCCTTCTGCCTTGATGAAGACAATGAATAACTGTTAGTCTCAAGCATGCTTGACTTCTCAGTAACATTTAGCAAAGTTAATTTTCTTCTCCCTCTTGAAATACTTGTCTCTCTTGTCTTCTGGAAGAGCGCATTTCCCATTTTGTTTCATTTTTGTTGTTAGCTTATTTGTTGGTTTATTAGCTTTGCTGGCTGTTCCTTCTCAGGCTTCTTTGCTAACTCCTCCTCATTCTTCTCACTAAGTGTTGTAACGCGCAAGGGCTCAGTCTGCCGCTCTCATTGCTTCTCTTTTTATACGCATGTCCAAGGTTTCATAATTAAATATCGTCTATCCTGTCATGATGCCTAGTTGTGGCTCCACAGCCCCAAACTCTCCCCTAATTCCACCTTATTGACTAATAAGCTTCTCAAAATTTCCACCTGGGTGTCTAACAGGCTTCTCAGAATTCATGTGTCCAAAAGACAAGTTTTGATTCCCATTGGCTCCTACATCTGTACCTTGCCACCTGCCTCTTATCTGTTCCTCTTCAAACTTTCCCAACACAGTAAATAAGAACACTGAACAGACCAAAACCTCAAAGTCTTCCAATCCATATGCCCAACTGTATTTACTCATCCTTAAAAACTATCTAAATACTGACCATTTCTCACCACCTCCACCTCCACACATACCAACCTAGTTCGAGTCTCCATCTCTCACATCTATATATATAAAAGTCTACTGTCTTACTGTCTGACCAGTAGCTATGACATGCACTGACCACCAAGGGGAAGACATTCAATGCAGGAGCTGTCAAGTGACAGCAACTGTGCCGAATGCCCTCTTGCACTCCAGGACCCCTCAGGGGATGTCAGACTGCCGGTTTTGGCCCAATCCCCACCTGCTGGAGGGAACCTGCTCACTCCACAGATGCCCTTTGAGCCCCAGTGCTGCCCCAGGTATGGCCAGCCAAGGAGGGACCACGGGAGGTTGGCTCCAGGGCGTGTCTGGCCTGTCTCGCCCAGTCCGGCCCTGCCAGCCACCTTCTAATTAATTTCCTTTCAGTGTGCACAAATCCATATGCTGGGCCTCTAGTTATTAATAATGAACTACAATATTCACTAATGACTGATTACTATAATCATGTTGCATTCATTTCCCTTGCACACCTTATGCACAGGCGCACCATTTCTCTTCACTAATACTAGCAGCGAATATTTTAGCACCTGATTGCCATGTCATTAGTTTTGTACTATCTTGTTTAGTGTGCAACAGGAAATATTTCGCTTTCGGAGAATAAGAAAAATCAGTTTATTTGCATTACACTTATTAATTTGTGCAGTTATTGAGTGTCTGGTAAGTTAATGCTCAAGAAAAATTGTTAAATTTTATTAAAATTTACTATTATCTTATGTTAACGATTACTCATTTATTTCAGCCCTTTGTATTTAGCATGTCACTATCAAAATAAACCTACATTTCTATGAAAATTGAAGCTTTTGGTTTTTTGCGGCCCACATAAACTTAAAACTTGTTTATTTGACCCATGTTAGCCTTTGAGTTTGACATGCTTGACTTACAGGCTTCAGTGAGGTCCATGTTTTCTGCTTTCTTGTACTTTAGCAGTGTCTAGATGAGGGATTTGGGGAAGGCAGAGATCTTTGTAAGAACTGCCTGGTCAATGGTTAGGGTATTTCAAATAAAGTAACCCTAGAATTAAAAAAAAATGTTTCTATTGATTTTAGAGAGAGAGAGAAATGGAGATGGGGAGAGAGAAATATCAATGAGAAACATCATTAATCATTTGCCTCCTGCATGCCCCCTACTGGGGATTGAGCCCATAATCTGGGCATGTGTCTTGGCCTGGAATGGAACCAGCAACCTTTCAGGGCATAGGACAATGCCCAACCAACTGAGCCACACTGGCCAGGCTCATAGAATTGTTTTTTTTTTTTTTTTAATATATTTTATTGATTCTTCACAGAGAGGAAGGGAGAGAGATAGAAACATCGATCAGCTGCCTCCTGCACACTCCCCACTGGGGATGTGCCCGCAACCCAGGTACATGCCCCTGACCGGAATCGAACCTGGGACCCTTCAGTCCGCAGGCTGATGCTCTATCCACTGAGCCAAACCGGTTTCGGCTCATAGAATTGTTTTAATCTCTCCAAAATGCAACACATTTTATTCCTTTCAGTCAAATTACAAAATTAAATTCTGTAACATAGATGCAAAATAATATTAGTCTTTATATCTTTAAAATGTAAGTGTTGGTCAAGTTGGGGGGATATGACTCTGTCTTGAAAACACTCTAAAATATTATGCTTAGTTTTATATATAAACCATTACCAGAGACAATGGGAGATGGCTTCCTGGAAGAGGAAGGTTTGGAATGGAGCCCTGAACCCTGGAAGGGCTTGAGAGAGGAGTGGGCAGCACAGCATCTTGGAGTTAACTAGTTCTGACTTTAGATTCTAGCTCTACCTATTCTTAAATGACCTTAGGCAAGTTATTTAAACATGTTATGAGAATTCAAGCCTTATACAGTTCTTGGCACAATAGAAGTTTAATAAATAATGTTTCCCTTTCAGGTTAACAGTGGGAAAAAATAGAGAAAGAACTTATATTTGGGGGGGGCAGTGGAAGAACAGCATGCTGAGAGTTTAGGGTAAGGGGAATATAGAGGTTTTTGAGAGATTCAGTGCTGTTTTTATTTTTTAAGTAATATATTCATCTTTTTCTAAAGAAATGTACAATCAGTCTTCTCTTTGGTCCTCCAGAGTACTGTCCTCTGTCTCTCACTGTTGTGCTGGTTTGTTTGTCATTCCCTGGCTCTCTGAGTCCCAGCTGTGCCTGTTAACCATGTTTCTGTTGTATCTAGGAATGCTCCCACCCCAGCCCATTGCTGCCCAGCTGTTGGAACGCTGTATAACACCAACACGCTGGAGGCTTTCAAGGCTGCAGATAAGAAGCTACTTTTGGAACAAGCAGCAAATGAGGTTAGCTGGGAAAACGTGATGTAGTCATTGTATTTTCTGTGGTCCTGCAGGCATGGTGTTTGTGATCAGATGCAGGGATCTGTCATAAAAACTAGTATATAATTGATACTCAAAGATAGCTGGCGTCTGTGTTGGGAAGGTCAGAGAGAAGACCCTGAGGCTCTCACCTGGGGTTAGGCCGGAATGCAGGGCAGTGTGTGAAAAGCTTTGCTGCTGATCTCCCATTATAACATTCTGAAACAGCTTGACCTCTGTCTGAGTTCTGTTTTTATGTCTGAATGCCTTTGGGTTCTCTGTTCTTTGTGCCCCTGGAAGAAGCTTTCCAGTTGTAAGCACTGGAGTGCTGTTGGAGCTGATAGTGGAGTCTCTCTAGTATCCTCAGGGATAAACCTAAACCACTCCCTGTGATTTACAAGGCCCCTCGTGTCCTGGCCTCCATGGCCTTTCTGTCCTGTCACTCTTGCCCCTGCCTTGTCTAACCCGGTCACAGTAAATCACTTCTCATTCCTTCCTTCACCTGCTTTTTGTTCTCTCCTCTTTCCTCAGGACATGATGTTCTCTCTACCTGGAATGTCTTTCCTTTACTTCTTCATATCTGAGTTAGTGTGAAGAACAAAAATGGGGGGACAATTTATTTCAGTCCCCTCTAACCCACTTAATTGAGTGGTCTTCACACTAGTCTCAAAAAAATAATAAGAGTCTTGCTCTGGTTGGTATGGCTCAGGTTGAGTGTCACCCTGTGCACCGAAAGGTTCGATGCCCAGTCAGGGCACATACCCAGTTGCTGGTTTGATCTCCAGTCCAGGTGCATGCAGGAGGCAACTGATTAATGTTTCTCTCTCACATCGGTGTGTCTGTCTGTCTCTCTCTCTCCCTCCCTTCCTCCCTCCCTTTCCCTCCTTTCTAAAAACATCAATAAAAATATATTTAAAAACAAACAAACACAAAAAAAGAATCTTTTTCTGTGGGTGCATGCCATGGTCAGAGAAGGAAGTTTCCTGCCTTTGGTCTTGAAGAAGGTGTCCCTTCTGTTCCTCATGATGAATGCTCGTGATGATGGTTGTTCTTGGCCTGCAGCTTGGCTGCTTTTGGGCTCCTGCTTTGGCTGCACATTTAAAAGGCCGGCTCCAAAGTTGGGTCAGGTCTTAATCCATCATGGAAAAAGCAGGTTGCTCCCCATAGGAATTCTCACTCCTTGCCCAGGGCTCGGACTTTCCCCACAAATCCCCCCACTTGGCTTATCAGAAGCTCGGGTCTGCTCTGCAGCAGTCCGCTCCTCCACAGTTATTATTTCAGTAGCAGGAACTTCTCTCTGATTATTTCCCTCTTCTACCCATATGTAGGGAATGGTTCTTATTGGCACATAAGAACCATTTATTTGTCTTGCATAGTGACACAATGTGTAGCAACTAATCTTAGCTACTGAAACATCTTGTGACAAGCAGCTGCTGACCAGTACCAGCTTCCTCTTCTAGTCACAGAACTTGCTGAGTATTTGTAAATTTGAAGTTCATTCTCTTTTCTTCATATCTCAGGGTGAAATAATCTGAAATAAGACTTTAGGAAATCCCATCTACGTAGTTCAAATCACTCCCTCCCAGAAGTCCTTCCTGGCTCTTTCCCCTCCCTTCTCTTAGCCCAGTTTGGGGTTCCTCTCAGGAATTCTAAATCCTTCCTGGATGCACACCCTACCTGGAGGTATACTTGGACATTTATGCCTGAATCTCTCACTAGACTGTAAGCTTCTTGAGGGTAGGGACTGATTTTTTTAATTTTTATAACCCTGATGTGCCTGTTATCTACTAGGAAACAAGTAAATATTTGTTGAAAGAAATAATAAAGGCATGCTGAGACCCACCGAGAGGAGGCCTCTGGGTTCTCTCACTTTCCTCAGCCTGTTACGAGGGTGTGGCTGGTGGAGAGGAGTGGGAAACGGGCAGAGTGAGGTGATGGCCCACTAAATTGCCTGGGAAAGTGGTGCCGAGCCTGTGGGAAAGAAGAGTTTGGGGCTGTACAGCTCTGTGCTTCACTTGAGAGTGAAAAGCTCAGAGATGCCTGATAACTTACCTTGACACTTTTTTCTCTTCTGGCAGATATGGGAATCCATAAAATCAGGCGCTGCTCTCAAAAACCCTGTACTCCTCAACAAATTCCTCCTCTTGACATTTGCAGTAAGTAAATGGACTCTGGGTCACAGGACATGCTCAAATGCCCCAGCCAAGCCCATTGTGCCAATAGAACAGTGTGCTGTCTTCTCCGGAAGCCTTTACCTGTGTCATTCAAGTTTTAGCCGTTAAATAAATCTTCATTTGGTTAGTGGCCAATATTGCTGGCCCTTATTACCAATGCAAAATTAATTCATTCTTACTGATCATACTGATATAATCATACATATTACTGGTAATAATTTCATGACTTATATAGCACACTCATCAAACTCTTACCACTCAGGACACAATAAATTCAGATTCAGGGAGTAGTGGTTGTTGATAATGTCTTTATTAAATACAGTCTTGCAGAACTCGGTTGCTGGGTCCATCGACATAAGGAAAAGGTAATCTCTCAGGGAACCTGGCCATCCTCAAGCTGCTGTAGACTAGAGATGACACTACCTTGCTGTTAGGTGGCTCAGGAGGCGGTGTAGGAAATAAAGATGAGTCGAGCTAATCAGAAAAGAAAGAAAGGAAAGGCTTTATTCTGCGTCCCCGGGCGGCCCACAGACCCAAAGACAGGGCATGTGGATCCGCGCCAACAGGGAGGGGAGCGCTTTTTTTATACAGCTGTTCAGGCCGGGGAGCATGAGCCGTGGGAGTTCCCACCACGGGGGTTGTCACGGTTTCCAGGTGTCGTCATCTGTCTGGTAGCTGACCTGTTAGGAATTCCAGGGTGGGACTGGTATCTGCGTCACTATCTACATGGTGCACTAGCCTGTTATGGATTCTAGGAAGGGCCCAGTATCTATGTCACCACCTGCCTGGTGGAGGCATACATCAGCTCCTGGACCCCCTTCGACCTAATACTTGTTTGTCCACACAGTTATGTTTTGTTAACAAGGAAAAATGTTTTTGTATAGGTGATATCCAATTAACATCTGCTGCCTAGGGAAGTCAGGCAAAGAAGCTGGTCCTGGTGATGGGGAAAGTGGTCAGGATATATTGTAGAGCAGCAGTCTCCAACCGGTGGTCTGCAGACCACTGGTGTCCGTGAGGTCTGAAAGGTTGGCGACCGCTGTTGTAGAGATACCAGCAAAACACACACACACACACACACACACACACACACACACACACGTATATCTACATATATATGCACAGGCATACCTTGGAACTATTGCAGGTTTGGTTTCAGACTACTACAGTAAAGCTAGTATTTTAAGAAAGGGAGTCGTAATCTTTTGCTGGTAGAAAGTCTTGCCTTCAATTTGTAAAAAACACAGCATCTGTGAAGCACCAATAAAACACTGTGTTTTATATGTGTGTGTATCTGTATACATCTACATATAAAACTAATTTTTCCTTTGTAATAAAGCATGACTACATACTATCCTGTCGAGTGTATATTCTATAGACTCTTGTACAGCCAGATTGTTTCCAATACTCATTGTTAAAATAATTTGCTTTAGTGAATAATACTGGCCATACTGATATTTTTCTCCCTGTCCATTTTATTTCTTTAGAGTAAATTCTTTGGAGGGGGCATATAAACATATTGACATTGGTGTACATTGTGTTACTTCACTACAGCTTCATCAGTTTATCCTCTTTCCCACATTTTTCTTTCTTTTTTTGCCAAGTTATAGGTCTTACTTTTTTTCCTCCCCCACAAATTAATCCTCCATTTTCTCTGAATGCTGCCAATCTGATTTACCAAGAGAATGATAAGAATCAGACTGGAAGGTATATCAAAGGGGAGCTATCTAAAAAGATCACATTTTCTAACAAGTTATACTGCTTTAATGTGTAATAGTGGGGTATAGAAAAAGTTTTAAATTCTTTATGGAATTTCTAGGTGGAATTTGATGTTGATAATTTGTCTGTAAAATTGAGTAATTTTGTAGGTTTACTACTAGAATAGATATAAATAGTGCTAGTTAAATATTTCTAATTTTGTTACTTTAACATCAATATATTTTCTATACAAGAATTCTACTTAGTGGAATCTAATTGACAATTTGCACTTAAAGAGAAAAAATACATTCACTCTCACTTAAAGTTTTAAGGCATTTCCCAGAGTCAGTATGTGTGTTGGCCTGTTGCCCTTTTACTGAGCATTCTTAGCCTACCTTTAAAAGAATGAAAAGTCTCTTTTAAAATCTTCAGACACAAAGGGCTTTATGTTAATTTAATCAAGACCTTTTGTGTCCTGAAAAGAATCCTAAGAAATTCAAGCCTTTGGACTTTTGAGGATGACCTGATAAAGCTTCTTAGAAATTGTGAAGTCCTTCATCTTGAATTGTTTAACCTTTTACTAAAGGTCATTTATGACAAATCATTTAAGTACAAAAAAGAAATAATCTCTGGAGGTGTTGTTTCTTTTTTTTCCTGCTGTTTTTAGGACTCAAAGGAACAGACCCTTAATTACTTCAGTTTTGTAATTTGTTTTGCTATTGTTGAAAGAATTTATTCCTAATTGATCAATTACTGGCAGAATTAAATGTGAGGTTCGCAGCACAGGAAACTGAGTCAGAGAGTCAGGCAGATTGAAGGAGGAGAATTTATTCTGCGCTCCTGGGCGAGGTCCACAGGCCCTGGGGTTGGGCCAGTGGAGTCCTGCCGAGAGGGAGTAGGGACATTTTTTTATACAGCTGTTCAGTGAAGGCAGGGAAGCATGAGCTGTGG